ATGGTCGAATGGTCCAGGCGATACGTATCAGAGTTACATGAATCCTATAACTTCACACTAAAGCCGATTGTAACATCAGCTTATTGCCAGCAAACGAATAAATTCCTTCACCTTACTTATCTTGAATCTTTAAGAGAAACCCGAAACCGTAAACATGCACGTTGAGCATACAGTGTTAACTATTCATTCGGTGTCTCTAGGGAATATATTGAACAAAAGACGGGCTCAGCATCCGACTACACTATTTCTCACTACATCGGTGCGATGTAATCAGAGAAGACGACGTGTCGCGCTTATTTATGTATGAACGGGGCGCGGGCGAGGGTGGGCCAAACGCGCTGGATACAAACAGAATAATATTGATGACACTGCGCTACGAGGGGTCATGAATCATTAATCGTCTGCTCTGGTGTACGGCTCTATTACGACTGCCTTGCCGGATAAGCCACCCTTCACGAGGTGAGGCCGTATGAGCGCCAGCCGCACCGCGAGCATCGCTTGCCTTTTTCAAGTTGTTTTACGATGAGCATAACTAATTTCCTTCTTCAAGATATTAACAGCCTGATCCTCTCCATTCCTTTCAAACTGCCTTGACTTGTATTAGTTTTGTGTAAACTATCATCACGTGGTCAAAATGTTTCCAAAACTAAATAACAATAACAAACCTTTAATGAAACCACAAACTGTTTAATTGTGTCAACCACTACCAAAATTGTGATCACAAAAGGAACTTAGAGCAATTTTCTCAAACAAAAAACTGAAGGCAATTTAAGTTAATTCAGTAAGCAGCAGACATGGCTACTTCCAAATGAACTCAAACGTAACAAAAACGAAAACAAATCGTGGACAAAAACGCAGGTCATTTCGGCTTGGACTTTCTCGTTTATTTTTTCTAAACGCTGCGTGGCCCGAGGACGTGCATCCGAAACCTTGAGATATTTTTTTTTTACTCGAACAAAATTTTATTCTACCTCTTGTGCATGGTTGAACAACGATAAAATAATAATGCTCGAACTCGGAGTGACTACTTCAAAAAGGGACCGTAAGGGAAGGCCGGAACGTTCCTAAATTTCTAATCGAGATTTTATTTCACGATCACCCGGCCGTTCTTTATGGTCTCTTTTTGCAATGTTTTAGGTCTCAAGGTAAAGCCGTTATTATTCTTTTTTTAAGTACAGAATGGTTAAAATATTTGGGTAACTTAAAATTTGTGCAATAAAATTTACAAAATAGAGTCATAAAAGTTGTTGATTCAAAAATGTTGAAACTGTGCCAACAATCAGCTAATGGTTTCAACAAAATTGTTACCGAAAATGGTATGACCTGATTTCAGATTGTGTATACACTTATACAGGATACATTTATTTCGATATTTTGACACACTGTCCTGTGTAAACATTGAAATCTACAGTTTTGATTTGAAAGTCACTGATATTTCAAATAATATCAAGAAAAAAATGGACCAAATATGACATCTAAGTAAAGAAAAAGTAATATACAAAAACGATAGTAAAATAAATAATAAAAACCTCATTCTGATTCAGAACATACACATCCCATAACAATTTTCCAAACATTGAAAGTATTCAAAACGATTTTTTATAAAGGAACGACACATAAAATTTACATGACAAGCCAACTTACATGCCGTAATGTAGTCATAACCATATCTATATCTTGGCACTTAAAGCACTTTTTAAAATTCATCACGTGTTCTCAAAGTTCAACTTACCATCAAGGGAGGCACGCTTCTAACAAAAAAGTTACCCAAAAAGGAAAAAATGTAAAAAAGTACAAGCCAATATATTTAAAGGACCATGTTTCAATGAGGCACAATAGAAGAAAATAGTTTCTGGCGACAGCGTGGCATGTCAATGTCTGCATTTTTTACAACCCCTTACCATTATTGTTTAAGTTTAGCTCCCAATTGTTTCAAAACCGCTATCAGTAATCGATTATTTTTTGTCGATAACTAATAACGGAATCCATTTTACACGTCAAGCCATATTGCAAAAAATATAATTTTATAAGAGCATACCGGCCTGCAATTTAGTATAAAAGCAGGTAGGCGGCCATTTTCTAAGCCTATAGTTAAGTAATTTGCGTATTTCCTCGCGTACCCTAATAATGTTAAAAAGAAACTACCTATCCTTCCGCCTCCGGCAACGTCACGCACATCCCTTTACAAACAAAATGAAAAAATGGAGATCATTGTGCCCTTGTCGCAGGTAGAACTGGATAAAAAACGCCCACTAAAAGCCGAGCATTAGTTCTGCAAAAAATGGAAGCGTGATCACAGTAAATACATCCTGGATTAACAACAGATGTCGATTCTCTGATGATGTGCATGATATGGGTCTAAAAATATTTTTTGTCGAATTTACCCAAAATCATAAATGTAATATGTAGCTCCAAACAACAATAACAATAATGCTGAATAGTTTATACATTCATGTGCGTGTCTCATGACGAATTTGGGATAAAGGATTATGCTGCTCCACCAAACAAAAATGTGATATTTAACAAAACGGTTGCCGAAGAACTTTTCTGGTAATTTCTCAGAACCTAGTGATCCTTTGATTTCATATTATGTCGAAATGGTATTTGAATTATTTTACGCAAGCTTTGTTGACTTCGACAAGTCATAAATCTTGTAAAAATAATAATGGTCAGTGATAATAATAAATTACTAATGAAGCTTACCATACCCCTGCTGAGATAATAAATAATTTTATGTTTAAATTGATCATTTCCAATCTAGAGAGATGCCTCTATCGATAAATATTTATATAAAAATATTAATGTTCTAGCATAACTTGTATTAAGACCTAAGCAAATGTGAATACTTAACATGACATCATCTATTGTACCGTCCATCCAGTACACAGCATACTGTGCTATCAAATTTGTTCAACAAAAGGTTCGATTAGAAAGCATTTTCGTCCAAGTAATTTGATTCACGTATTCGTTGGTACTTAATAGTTAACGTTGCTGACACTACTAATTTATGATTCCATTGAAATCTGATTTGAAACGTGGTCCTCGTTTGATAAAGTTAATGGACTCCGAGGCTATTTATTGGCAGCTACTGAGTTATTCTTCGAATACATTCTTTATGGGTTCACAATCTAAGCATTCCTTGATATGGCTCGCCATCGCCATACAATTGTGTCTTCATCTTTTTTTATATGAAACACAGCATTAACAAAATTCTAATTTCAAATTAATGGCCTAATAGAAATTCCTCGGCTTTTCGACAGAAAACTGATGGGCAGCTACGAATTTATAATTTCATATTCATTGGCAATAAATAATATTTCGTATACAGGCACACATATACCAGAATAACTTAATTAAAGTTTACTAAAGCCAGAAATTGATTAAACAACAAAATAATTTATGGTGTAATCTCTTAGTGGAGAGCTGAAACAAATAAGTTTATTCCAATTTAAAGGGGATAGCCGATACAAATTACGTTTATGGAGGCATGGTCCGCGCACCGATAACCAGCAGGCAACCTGTTTCGAATGATTCGAATAAATAATGCGACCAGTTTAGATAAATCCTATCTGTAAATACTGATCGATATATTATTATGGGTATGGTTTTCGAATGCTGATAACTATCAGAAGAAAACAATTTCGTTTTGTAGGTAATTGATAAGAACGAGGAATTTTATTTGATTTTAATTTGAGGAAACATTACAGGTTAAGACAACTGACCGTAATGCCCACTAAAATGAGTTCGATTTTATTTTTAGATGAAACCAAGATTGATGTAAATTACCACTTATTGACATTTTATTATTACAAATGTTTAGTTACTTGAGTAACATTCCTCAATTAGGCCTAAAATTGATAAATAATGTTGGTGCAATTAATACAGATAAAATGACGAATGAATAAAATGTTAAATTATCTGTAACTTATATGAACTTTTGATGTTGTTTAACCAAAATATGTCAATACAGATATTATGTAATCTTCCTCAATATTATAAAGTTCAATCAGCCATTTTACACTTCAGATTCATTCTTGACAAAATTTTCAAATAAAATAAAATTGACAATCGGTGACAGTCATAGTTTACATGTGACATTTCATATCATACAAATCGAGACACAACAATAATATTTAACTATTACGTTGTTGATCAACTATCTCTGCGTATAATTTCTTTAACATATATTAATATCAGTATTTATAATAGATTTTATCAGGATATTAATAAAGTAGCTTGTATATGTAGGCAAATGTCATGTATCAGGTTGAATATGCGTTTATGAAATCATGGAATCAAATGTCTCATAGGTAAAATGAAGTGTATTATACCAAAGAAGCATGAAAGAAATGAAGCATTTCTATAACATTTTGCCTATATTCTAATTCTTGGCAAGGTTTGATTTTGATTACAAGTTCAAGATCTGGTTCAACGATAAGTAATTTGGAAAAGTCAATTCAATCAAATTGGATCACGGCCTTGCTCTCTTGTTTTCTTTCAACTGTCTTCAATTATTACAGCCGTTGAGTACAATGAGGAAGCTCTCTAATTGCGTCTCTTGAATTTTTTTTTCTTTGATTCGACAGAATTTCGACATCTTTATCAAATTTACTTGGTTCTCCAATCATTTACTTGATGCCACTTGTTACTTAAATGACGAATGTAACCATTTCCACTAAACCGGAAAAGTTATAGGCCTACATATACGATGCCATTAGTCTATTATTCAAAATTACAAATCTTAAGATCCTCGTGTACTGGGTACGGGTATAACAGCGAAATACGTCGGAAACCGTCTCGGTCAGAGGATCAAAGGATAGCCTAAGGGGCCTGACATTAAAGTGGATTCAAGAGCTCATGTTTCCTGACAACTACTTAAATTTTGGTGTAAAGGAGAAATTTTTAATGTACCTTTTTCTTAATCGATTTAACTTTGTTACATGTCAGAATATTCTTAAATGTGTGGTAATGAGTGGAAGGTAAAATGCACATTTCCTTACCTTTTGTAAACACGTTGCTCTGCATTGTGCTACTCGCAACGGAGATGACACTTCCTCTTCAGCCGACACTCCAATCCAAGACATAATGAGAGTAAACAAGGAGAAACAATAAAATAACATTTTGGCACACATTTTCTTTGGTATCCCTCTTTTTACAAATCCAAGTTTGGTCAAAGCTTCGAGCTTATCATAACCGGCACATAAATGTAAGCGACGAAACGCTCATAACTTTTTCTTGATTTTCTTTCAGTGTTTACAATTCAATCTTACAAGTTTTTCATCACAAAAACATCATACTTTGTACAAAAGTCTGTTACTCCAATGTTGAAATCCGTAATCCAAAATTCAGCGGAGACCGTAACATATCAATAAAAAACTTAAAATAAACACAAAACGTTAACAGTATGAAATCGCACTTAGAAAATATTTTTCACAGTTCGAATCGTTTCCGGCGGAATGTTCCTCGAGAGGCGACGTTGCCGCCGACGCGGTCGAATGCGGACTAACCACCCCGCTTGAAGAAGCTCAGTTCCTCTCCCCTCTGTTGGTTAATTTTTACGTCTGTCTCGCTCGCACGCTAGCTTTCCCTAGTCTCCGTCCCTCCCGGCACAAAGCACCCATCCATGGCTACGTTCGTACTACTACGTGTGCCGCTCTCTCTGTTCTCTATACTAGTGCATATACATTATTCTATCTCGTTTCATCTCGGGCGGTTTCACGTTGTTTTTCCTTGATGCAGTTTAACGGATGGGAATGTAGTGGTTATTGTTAGACAAAGACGGTGGTAGTAAAAATTTTAGGGTTGCTCAAAAGGGGTGACAAAGAATCGAGCTAATTCAGGGCTTGCGTTTTTATGGGAACCCACGCGGTAAAAAGTATCCCGCCTCTCTCGTTTGTTCAACTTTATGGTCCTCGCATCGTGAAGCCATATTAATAATATTAATGGCTGCCGCATCAACTAATAATACAACTTTTTATGGTGGTGTTTATGAATTCTTAATTTTATAATAGTTTATTTGGCCATATAAGGTTTTATGAAGGACAGCTGAAAGAATTAATATCAAAAAAGTTTTATGTCATAAATATAATATGTACAATGTGATATTATTTGCGTTGGCATAAACTGTCAACAAACAATAACAGTCTCCTGAATATTCTAAGCAATATTTCAGCGTCAAACCCCGATGGCAGAAGAAACAATACATTGGAAGAGGGAAGCACTGCACAAAACCCCCTCAGCAAAAAGATTAAATAAGAATACAGTGTTCGTGACAGCACAAGCCTTTACGTAAAGGCATTTTTCGTTTTCTTTCTCCAGAATCTAGGCTCGTTCTATTCATCTCGCTGTCTTTAATCTTCCAGCCTCTTGGCAGACTTTGTCTAGACGAGGCCGTCCTGAGGTAACTGCGCACAATTTCGATACGGTCGAGGCAGGACGAATGTTTCTGTTGGACCTAAGTTATTAGTTTTGTACTAACTGAAGAGCTACAGTTATGTTCAGGCTTTACTGTTATTTCACAGTAACTGCTACAAGCTTACGTGGAATTATGTTGCTAAAGTACCAGCAACCACTGAAATTGTAAGTTGCTTAATAGTATTGGGTTTTCCTGAATTGATATAGGATTTCCAAATCGATTCTAATTTGCATAGTAAAACAACTTATTCTTAACAATTATATATCATTCTAAACTAAGCCAAATTAAAAAGTAACCATTGTCGATGTTTATTGTGATTTCAACGTTTATTTTTAATTCTTTCAAACAGTTTTCTACGATATAATATTTTTACTCGATCATAATTACACCTACAATTTATTTGGTTTCTACACGATGTAATTCAATCGTTATTATCATGGTATTATGGCGTGACTTTAATTTATCGAGTGACTTTTTGCGAATTTTGTTTTTGTTGTATACCAATTACAATTCTACTTAGGTACCTTTTTATTTGACGCCTACCAACTTGGCTGCTACTATTTCTCCATCATTGTGTTTTATATGGTCTTAGACTTATTCAATGTTAATGAAGATTTTGACTAAAAAAATGTAAAGTAAAACTCAACAAATTCTATTTTCATAACCTTTTCTAAGTATACCATATTTAATATTATATGTATATTTCTGTGTCCATAAAAATGTTGCAAACAATTCATCAAATTTTACCATTTACCTTTTTATGTGTTAGACGTATGAATCACAACAAAAACTAACTCTCATAAATACAATACCGAATATTCCTAGGAAAGTTGAATAGACTGTTATCCGAGCACTGGTTTTCACCAACGCGGTTTCTCAAGTTTATATTGTTGACAAATGCGATCCGTCCGCCACGTCGGCAGTTTATTGCTCGCCATGACAGCCGACGCATTGTCGACCACGTTGAAAGGTTTACTACGACCTCGTAAAAACAAGTGTTCTCCGTGGAGGTCAAAGTTTGCTTGATTGTTTGCCGAAGGACAATTCGTTAGCGAAATAGAATTTATTGACTAGATTCGGGTCAATTTGGCAGGTCAGGTACATGTTAATACTGATAATCTTGTCCATCTCAGTAATTTGGGGACTAATATTATTCTGTAGCGTTCTGCCAATGGAGCTAAATTAACATTTATAATGAAGATTGACGACGTAGACAATGTTATGCGTTCTCATTACTACTGATTGTAATAAATTGGCTCTGATAGCTCTTTGTACAACCGTGATTGCATTTTATGAACAAATAGACTTCACGAGTGGATTTCTTCATGGGGTTTATAGAAGCATAGGTATTTTTACTATCGCTTTACTTCTTCTATGCAATGGATGTTGGAGATAAACCACCCCAAACGACTGTAAAATCGGCCGGTTACATGCGACCTGCCTCTATCGGCTTCCCACAACTTAATAGTATCGAGTATATTTTATTTCACTTCTATACATTATTAGTATTTAGTAAAATGAAAGTTTTTTTAAGTAATCTTATATTTATAACCGAATCCACACTGATTATATTTGTACATTCTATTGTGATTCACATTAATTGAAATGATACGTATGACCTTAAACAACACCTGACCTTTTTAAAGGACACCAGTGAGTTTAGTATTTATTTTCCTCATATTAAACAGATATTTGGAATCTGATATTAAAAACCTTTTTTTAGAATTCTATTTTAAATCAGAGATAATAAATAGCAATGTGGATGAGTATTTCTATTACTGCCTACATATGTAGGTTTGTAAGCATGTTCATATTATCCTTCTTACGAATACGTCAGTAGAAGGAGACGATAAATTACGATACAAACAGATCTACTGGCGATACTGGGAACTATATTGTGAGACTTTGGTATTACTGAGGCAATAATGATTCAGATTATAGCGATCTATGGCTTACGCATGCGATAATTGCTAGTTGAAACAGGATTTGTAGTGTGAATTTGTGTTGGCATAATGGGGATGATGACAGGGTATGAAAATTAAAAATATAATTAGTCCGTAACTTAGGTAATAAAAAAATATTAGACACGTATTTTTTTATTTTGTTGTATAATAAAACAATACTTAGATAAAACGAATCAAAGTTTAGGAGCGGGGGCTAAAACGTCATTTCTTAGTATAAAATGTACTGAGAAGTGACGTCACGCGATATTTCAAATCAATATATCTTCGAAACTATTCGTTTCCGTAAGAAAATAAAAAATACGTGTCTAATGTTTTTAAATAATCTACCAGACGGACATTAAAATAAAAATTAGTCGTCTACCCTATTGTACTAATTATTTAAGGGTTTAGAATAGAATATAATCAAATATTTTTATGAAGATTTTGACAGACTTATTTATTATTTCACTAGCTTATGTGCCAAAATGATGTTAGAAACTCGTTATGTTAGAATTCCTGTGACATAAATCAACTGATAAAGATGTTTTTATTGTAAAATTTAATTAATTGTCTATAATTATCTACATACACGTATTCTAGAAGATGGTCCTGTAGAGGTAGGTACAATCCGTGCAATCCTCCTGATAAAAGCTATTAAACATTCATATTAAATCCTCCAGAGAATTACACGTGTTCGATACAAAGTCTGTACCTACATAACAATAAGAAAAAGTTTTTATGACGTGTTTACTTCTTTAACGTAACTTGTACCTATAAATACGACTTCATTACGACGTGGGTATTGCGAAAAACTTGTGGTAAGAAGACGTCTCCTACATAACTGAAATTCAATAGGCGTAGGTGGATCAACACCTACATAAAAGTTTATTTTAAAGAAAAAAAGACCTATTACTTATGCTCTAAATAACAATACACCTAAAGCTACCAAGCTTCCTAAAACTAAAGCTAAGGCGAAAGTCGTGAGGAATGGCGAGTTTTTCGTTCATTCCATGAATGAAAGAGCTGGTTGTGCTAATGAGTACACGACTAATTGCTTCAAGCAAAGCCGACGAACAATAGCAATTCGTTAAATAAAATTAAAAAATCTTTTATTTCAGACGACGAGCCACAAAAAGCCTGTTGTGACGAAACAACTATAATTTAACATAATTTGAAGAAATAATTAGTCTTTAGTTTTAATTAATATAGTTAATTACGAATGAACAATGGGACGTTTCCAGACCTCACTGGATAATTTTGAAAGATTTATGTTAATTGTAATTTCAGTTTCTATTCCAAAACGAACACTATAGTTGTGAATCGTTCGTCAACAGCGGTAACAACTTGTATGCCATTTTTCCTATCTATTTTTAGTTTTTGTTTACAACTTGGTACAACGTAGTTTTCCAAATATTCTAATTCCCATACAACACCCAAGCCAAGCGAATGTAATAGAAATAACCGAGCACCGTTGTAGGTAGCTGTTTCGCGAAACAAGGGGGCTAATTAGAACTTGTAAGATGGTCGGAGTAACTAACAGTGAGGGCTTAGGAACAACTTGTGGCATTAGCGCGACAGTACGGCACTGTACATAACAATCCATGTATACGATACGTGTGTATAGTACATATTATGTATTACTCCACTGTGCCTTCACATTGTAGCCACGATTTGTACCCGAAAAAGCCGCTTGGATTAAAATACCCCTGTAAATTCACGAGTTAAGATGTCTTGGGTTACTTCGTTGCAAATTAGAATCCTGTAGTTTTATTCTCAGAGTAAGAATTTCATTTTGTGGATTGTGTAATACTATGAGGCTTTCCAAGCTGCTTTTTATTCTTAGAGGAATATTGAAGACTATCTCTCGAGTAGTTTAAGTTCTTGCAATTTTACACCGTTGTAGACTTTTACTTTATTTGCAACTTGTGACCGCAAACGTCATGTTGTGTTCGTGGTTTCCGCTTGAAGTAACATGATATAAATCTGCTGGTTCATTTGATATCTTTCCTTATTTTTGTTTTATTTGAACTGTTGAACTAATCGAATGTGTTGTATCGATTTTTGGTTTGAAATTTTAACGAAATCGGGTGAGTATAGTACTTCTTAAATTCTGCACTGTTTCAATGCAAGGCTGTAATAAATTTCGGATCTGTAGCG